TCCCCACATTCATTTTGATGCATTCTGTAGCATCTCATAATTTTACTTATATCACTCATGAGAGGACCGTGACAGGTTGGGACCTGAATGTTGTTTCTTTTCTTAACCAAACCAGAGCCTTTCAAAATTTCTTTAATCTATTTTTTTTTTTTTTTAATATGTTGTGTGTGCATCTATGAGGAAAGTGCTTTTTTCTTTTGTAAATCCTAACTTAGAGCAGAAAACAGTGCCAGAAAGCTCTCCTATGCACTGCCAATTGGACCATTTGAGAACCATTTTGAGAGCTGTGGTGATGTTTTCTAATCCTGCCTGGAAGGGCTGAGGAGAAGGCAGCAAGCACCGCAGACTGTAGAGATGGATGGGGCTGTGGGGATGCACCACACCACCAGTCCCCAGCTGTGTGTGCTGTGATGAGGAGGGGGCAGTCCAGGAAACAGCTCCTGACGGGAGGTGGGGTTCAGCTGGAATGCAGTGGGAAGTTCCAAGTTGTAGGCAATTACACCTGGTTAGCAAATAAAATGCTGTTCTGCAGGTCCTATAAGCCAATTTTTTTTCTGATGGATAATTCCTTTTTTTTTTCCTTTTTTTTTTTTTTTTTTCTTTTCCTTGCTCTAGTCTCCAAACTACTGTGCTCCTGCTTTAAGCCCTACACAGTCAGAGAAGGCAACTCAGGCTGACCAGACTGGCACCCTCCAGTTTCAAGCAGATTGTTGGCAGTATGAGATCAGCTTCAAAGGTGAAGTATCTGTTTGCTTGATGCCTAAAGCAGGTGGGATGTGACTGGTGCTGCAACGCTGCATGTCCTGCAGGGGCAAGGCTTGCAGGCCAGGACACAAGATGAGTGAAAAGCTCTTTTTTGATTTTAAGCAGTCAGTGCTACAGCAGCATGGAGGGGAGTGTGGGGAGAAGGGGATTCTCCACTAAGCAGGCACAAGGATAAGTGCAGGTGTTGGTACAAGGAAGGATGCAGCCGAAGCAGAGGGAAATGCACAGGATGGGAGCTGAGGGTGAATTTGGGAAGCCCCTGAGCATGGCTGCAGGACTGACTGTGCCAGTCTGGATATCTCAAAGAAGCAAAGTGCTCCTTGAAACAGGGCAAAACAAGGCGACGATTTTCTTCAGCTGTCAGACAGGTCTCCACGTGCGGGTTCAGAGTCATTGCGATTGACACTGAAAGTGGGGACAGCACATAATAAAAGGAGAATACAAACTAAGCGCGCCTGGAAAAGAAGGCGAGCCGAACTTCCCTGCGTTGCCGCCGCTGCCGGGCGGAGAAGGAGCCCATGGAGCGCTGTCAGGACGCTTCCCGGAGCCGCCAGCCCCTGCCGGAGCCTTGTCCCTGTCCCTAGGTGGCGGTGCCCGCCCAGGCCGGAGCCTTGTCCCTGTCCCTAGGTGGCGGTGCCCGCCCAGGCCGGAGTCCCCGGGGCGGAGGAGCCAGGCCAGCCCCGGGGCCCTGAGGCGGGGACGGCTGAGGGCGAGCGGGGCGGGGCCCGCTGGCCCAGCCCCAGCTGAGGGCAGCGCGGGGCTTGANGTTTTATCCTCAGGTACAGTGTGCAGCCCTGTAACTCACCATCCACATCTGAACCCTGCTGTGAGGAGAGACAATTGCCACCTTCCTGTGGTTGTCTGTCACACTCACTATCCCTTTCCCTTGAGTACTTTACAAATATTGATGGAATTACCTCCAGGAAAAGGCATCAATCACAATAGGCATTTTCTGCCTCAGAGTTGAAATTACAAAGATGTCTCCAGATATGTGGTGTCCTTTTAGGGTTAAACCTGGCTTGAATTGGAAAGAGCAATATAGGATCAATATATTCAACCCTCTGCACTTTAAAAGAGTATAGCAACAAGAATTCACTATGGGCCAGAGTTTTTCAACTGCCTGGTCAACTTTTGTGCCTTGCTTCCAGCTGTTCATAATGTGATACCTCAGAGGGACTTGGTTTTCTGTGTCCTACATATTTACAGCTGAAACTGAATTCTACTGACAGTGGGGCTCCTTTCAATTAATTCAAGATTAAGGTTTGAAAATAGTATGCAGAATTGCTAGCTGAATTGAAATATCAATAAAGATTAAAAAAAAATCTGCAATCATCCTAATTTTCGTTTTCCCTTCAAATTCTTTAATAATAGTTTTATCAGGTGTCACATGTCTGAAAACATTAGTTAAATTACAGTAAGAGCTCAGTAGAATAATGATATTTTAAAAAACGTTTTTAAAATTAATTTTTTAAAATTACAAACCACTTACAAAACTGCAAGTCTTAAATTTTGCATATTTACACCAGTAATTTTGCATTAATTTTGTCAAACTGTGATCCACAACCTGCACTTTAAAACACGAGAAATATTGCCAGTGCCAAAAGTTCAGGCTGCAAGTATTTACGGGAGTGGCTGAAAAATGAGATTTAGGAAGTAGTTAAGTTCTGTTCACATTTTTCAGTTTTCATTCATCTCCTGTTACACTTCTAAGCTTTCTCATCAACAGCAAGCACAGATGATTCACTGAAAGAATACGAGTGAGTTGCTTAGGTCACCACATTTCTCCAGGAGTTGGAAATTTAAACAGAAGAGTATCATGGAGTCATAATAAATCCCGTGCACTGGCAAAGTTAATTCACTGCAATGTGTACCTGTCTCTGTTTTTAACAATTTATCTCAGTACTGTACAGAGATGATCCTGTTCCTGCTGACAGTGATTACAGCATTGTGCAGGAGCAAGGTGGGAACATGGCGAAAGGAATGAAGCTGTGTCAGGGGAGGGTTAGGGTGGATATCAGGAAAAGGTTCTTCCCCCAGAGGGTGCTGGGGCACTGAACAGGCTCCCCAGGGAATGGTCAGGCCCCAAGGCTGCCAGAGCTCCAGGAGAGTGGAGAGAGGAGTAGTGTGGCCAGCAGGAGCAGGGAGATCATTCTTCCCCTGTACTTGGCACCGGTGAGGCCGCTCCATGAGTGCTGTGTCCAGTTCTGGTCTCTCAGTTTGGGAAGGATGTTGAGACGCTTGAGCGCATCCAGAGGAGTCAACGAGGCTGGTGAGGGGCTGGGAACACAAACCCTGTGAGGAATGGCTGAGGGAGCTGGGGTTGTTTAGCCTGGAGAAAAGGAGACTCAGAGGTGACCTTAACACCTATCACACTCAGGTGAGGATCAGTCTCTTTCTCCAGGCAGCAGCTGACAGAACGAGAGGACACAGTCTGAAGTTGCGCCAAGGGAAATTTAGGTTGGATGTTAGGAAAAAGTTCTTCATGGAAAGGGTGATAAAATACTGGAATGTTCTGCCTGGGGAGATGGTGGAGTCACCATCCCTGGATGTGTTTAAAGAAAGACTGGATATGGTATTCAGTGCCATGGTTTAGTTGAGGTGTTAGGGCTGGGTTGGACTCAATGATCTTGAAGGTCTCTTCCAACCCAGTGATTCTGTGATTCTGTGATTCAATGAGAGTTTGGACAAAACTCTCAGGCACAGGCTGGGATTGTTGGGGTGCCTGTGCAAGGCCCGGAGTACTTGATGATCCTTATAGGTCTTTTCCAACCCAGGATATTCTGTGATTCTGTGATTTCAAGCATGGTTTTCTGACAAAAATCCCAATTGAAATGTGTGTGTCATGGGTTGGATTCTGATTCCAGACTCGGGAGGTCATTTGTGTGCTTTGCGTTCCACAGGCTTCTTGTGTGAGCCTGGGCTGTCAGCCCTCTCAGGTGGTACCTTCCTGTTTTGCCTATGGTGACAGCCACCTCTGGTCTCATAGCAGGTTTTCAGGATCACATCAGCTCCTTTCTGAACCATCCCAAGCTTTTTAATGTCCTCAGAACGAGTCCTAACCATAGCACCACATCCTCCTGTCAAACACTGACATTGCTGATGTGTTGAGCCCAGATGTGCAAAGCTCACCACACCAGCAGATCCTCCAACCAGGTGGAGCCCCAGGGAGTCCATCTGGGTGCTGTAACACTCACAGGGCCTTTTTCCAGCACCAGAGGCTCACAGCGTTTTAGACTTCTCCTTATTTTGACAGCCAGCAACGACCAGGCCTGGAATCTGTTTGTTTCTTTATCAAGCAGGCTAATAAATGGTGCTGCACTGCTAAATCTGTCTTATTCAGCATTTTATGATTATATCAGTCTGTCTTAACCCAGTCAAGTATATTTACATGAAATAATGGAATAAGTTTTGCAAATTCCCACCCCTTTTTTTTTTTATTATTTTTTAAGTGACTGTCTAGCCAAGTTCATTTCCTCTCCTGTCTGAGCTCCTCTCTGAAATATATTATCCCACTTATTAGAAGCCAATAGCACTGTGCTTTGCTTTTCTTCCACCCTCTCAGAAGAAGGAGCATGCAAAGGATGCTTGGATTAAGTGAGTGGGGCACCCCAGAGCTGGGATTCCTTATGAATGAGCTCACATCCTCTCTCCGTATGATAAGAGGAATGCCGTTTGCATCCCGGAGCTTGCTGCATAAACACACACACACACACACACACACAGACACACTCACACACACATGGATGGGGGAGCATTTAGCCTAAGCAGAAACTGGGATATCCAAAAGATCTCAGGGATGGGGGATCATCTGCCAGCCCTCTGCTCAGACAGACCGTGGCCACTTCTTGGTGGCCATGGTCCCTGATTCCCGGTGAAATCCATCCCTCCCAGGAGGGGGAGGGCAGGAGGGGAGAGGAGATGACAGATCCCTGTTTGCATTCTTCAGAGGGAGCAGCTGCAATTGTCTTACTACAGTATGTCAACATGAAATTATGACAAATCAGGCTAGGATGGACAGGCAGATGAGAACAATGAGGAAGCAGAACACAGGGAAGCTGGGAAGAATGAATAACACCTAAAACTCAAGAGGCCTTTACCATCCTGGTGGGAAATGCCTACCGAAATGTAATGGCACTAACAGGACTGAGGACTGTGGATTTGCCTGATCATATGCTGAGTTTCCAGGTCTGTTTAAATCTGCCTCTAAAAGACTTCTTTTTTTTTTACATTCATAGGAGGAACCTTTCAAAAATTAACCTGAGAGCAGCTGGAAAAGGCTAGTCTTACACCTTTTCCTGTGAATGGGACACAGTCAGGATCCCCACCGTGCCGGTTTAGCACCCAACACTCTTACACTCTGTGATGCCAGGCTTTGACCTTGGTAAAGGTAAAGAAACCTCTCTGGCCTCCACAATTACACAGTTTCCTTTTATTTCTTTACTTTTTCATTTAAAGTAGTGCTGTTTGGTAGCAAAGGGAGAACTACCAAGAGCAAAGCTTCAGCTTTCCATCTCCTTTCCATCTAAGGGAAGTCCTTAAAATGGGATGCAATGAATGTTTCCTTTATTAAAAACTTCTCAACCCACACAGTTTCACAACACTTGATAGAATGCACATTTTTCCAGTTTTTTAGGTTTCTTGGGTTTTTGTTTTGTTTTGGTTTTTTAGTTTTGTTTTCTTTTTGTTTTGTTTTTTTATTTAACAATGTCCAGCAATTAAAAATAAGTCACTGAAGGGGCCATATTCAACATTAATGTAATTAGGAGCAGTTCCCTCTGGTCCTGCTAAGAGATGCGTTTACTCTCACCAGAGATGAATGTGCCAGCTTGTGGAGACCTCAGATTTAGGATTGTCACCAGTGTCTGCTAAGGGTGGCTTATAAATTTCCTCAGGTTTGTGGATCTATCAATTTAGTGCTGTGCTGCAAAAGAAAGAAGGGAAAAGGCAGCGAACACAGGTTTTTCCCCTAAAAGCTGGCTTTCTTCCCTCCATCCAGGTTGTGCTGCCTCTCTGCCTGCTGCAGCTGGCTGGCACCTCTGAGAAGGCTGCCACGTCACACCTTGCTGGAGTCGGGGAGAATGTGGTGGGTTTGCTCTGGAGGGTGGAGGGTGCATGAAAATATTTTCTGTGGTTTCAGTTTGCATGTCTGCATGGAAAAGTCTAGGGAAATGTAAGAGGTATGAATCCAGGAGGATCCACAGAAGTATGTGAGGACAGATTTCAAGGAAACGAATGAAAAACCCCCAAAACCTTTTCAGGGGAACGTATATTCCCAATAAGTTTTCAAAATCTGTAATAATTTTTTTCTCTTAAATTCCACAGGAGTTTTCCACAGGTTTGGTTCAAACCTCCCCTTTCCTAAGCTCTAAGCCTTACATTTAAATGTACTGAGAGAGATTTGCTCTGTGCTCACTCATTGCATCTCTCATCAGTGTCACTTTTCTAAGTGCTCTAAAACCCTTTTATGTTTGCACTGCTCTTCTGAGACAGTGGGAAATCCCCAGGCCTGGAGTCTGAGTGAAAGAGCTGCCTTTCCCCTTGTAATCTTAAGAACTTCAAGTAATGTGACAAACATATCCTGCAAGATCATATCCTTCCTGGGTGTGCCTGGGTTTGCTCCCATCAGGCACAGTGCCCTGATCTAACTGTTCTTCAGATCCATGGCATCCATCTTCTTCTGGAGGATAGGATAGGGATAGGGAGGATAGGGAAAGGATAGGGAGCTGCTGCAGCCAGGCCACAGTAGGGATACCAAGGGCATCAGAGGGATGGAGCAGCTCTGCTGGAAGGAAAGGGTGAGGGAACAATTGGGATTGTTCAGCCTGGAGAAGAGAAGGCTTTGGGGTGAGCTCATTGTGGCCTTGTAGTGCCTGAAGGGAACCCACAGGAAAGATGGAGAGAGACTCTTGACAAGGGCCTGGAGTGACAGGACAAGGGGCAATGGCTTCACACTGACAGAGAGCAGGTTTAGATTGGATATTTATATTTATATTTAGATTGTTCCTGTGAGGCCCTGGCCCAGGTTTTCCAGAGAAGCTGTGGCTGCACCATCCCTGGAAGTGTCCAATGCCAGGTTGGGCCCTGAGGAACCTGGGATAGTGGAAGGTGTCCCTGCCCATGCCAGGGGGGTGGAATGAGATGATTTTTTAAAGTACCTTCCAACCCAGGCCTTTCTATGATTCTTTTTTGCCTCGCCTGAATGAGACAGAAGCAGAAATGTGTGTCTGGAAGCTCAGCTGAAACACTGGAAGAGTTGCAAGCTCTGAAAGGCAGGAGCTATGAAATGATTGTATTCAGCCTATCTAGGAAGCACTTTACAAAGGAGAATCCTGGTCAACATCACATTTAAAAGATCAAGTCTCCCTAATGTGACCTCATGTCCTACCTGCTTGGCTATCACAAGGTACCAAAATCCAAAGTTTTTTTTCACATCTCACCTCCCTAAACTGTTCCTGTATTTTACTGTGATAATTTAATGTAAAAATACACAAGACTAAAGACACACCTCTTACCCTGCTGTGTACCCTAAGTCTTGAACTTTTTCCACCCATGTGCACTTGTTCCAGAATTGGGAATCACCTTTGGTATGTGGGGCTCCACACCAGCAGGCAGAGCCATGGTACTTTTGTCATGAATTTGTTCTGCACATGAGTGGTGAATCTGGTGCTCCAGGGAGGTGCAGGAAAGGAACAAGTCCACTGTGTATGAGAGGCAGTCACAGGGCAGAGGCTTTGTGTGGCCACCTGAACCCCCCTTGGTGCTGAATGAGGCACATGGGTGCTCATAAAGAATAGAGACCAAGTAAAAGTGAAATCTCAAACCCAACCTCCAAAATATACCCTTGGCACAGTCCATGATGCTGAGTGTGAGATCAATCACTGTGGAATCACCCCCTCCCAAATGTTGGCAACTGAAGCACAGAAGCACTGAATGACTTGATTAGACACAGGCAACCTCGAGGACCCAGGAGATGTCCCTTTTATAGAAGTCTCTGTCTGGTTCTTTACCATAAAACCAAGGCCCTTCTCAGAAGAGTTTTCCCAGGGCCTTGCACCATCTGTTGCTGACTTTTACTGTAACTAAGTTGGTTTAAAAATAATGACATTTTTCTTCTGTAACTGTGATATCAGCAGAGGGGAAGTCCTGCACATATGTAGGTGAAGAAATGAGAATATGCAACCAGAGAATAGGTGTTTATTCTCCCACACTTTCTGTTTTGCTTAACAGTACTAACCCCCCTTTACTTGTAAGCACTTGAGTGCATCAGTGCCTTTTACTTTCAATTTGAATCACAAGTAATTTTAATCTGCTTAGGATCTCACAAGGCACCTACCCACTGCATTCCACACCTTTGTGAGCAAATTCCTAGTTCCTAATGATCCCAGAATCATAGAATATATTGAGCTGGAAGGTACTTACCAGGATCATCAAGTCCAGTTCCTGGCCCTGCACAGCACTAACCCCAAGAATCACCATGTGCCTGAAAGCTCTGTCCAAACACTCCTGGAGCTCTGGCAGCTTTGGGGCCATGGCCATTCCCTGGGGAGCCTGTTCAGTGCCCCAGCACCCTCTGAGGGAAGAACCTTCTCGTGATACCCACCCTAACCCTCCCCTGACACAGCTCCCGCCATTCCCCCTCAGGTCCTGTCCCTGGTCACACAGAGCAGAGAACAGGGCCTGTCTCTGCCTCCTGAGAAAGTTGTAACTTCATGCCAGCTTCAATGAGACACAGCTCCAGTCTTCTCTCTTTATTCTAACTCACTTTTTGTTCCAGTCTTTATCTTGTCTGGTTCACCCCTGCTACCTCTTACTCTCCTGACCACTGCTTTCTGTTTCACCCTGTGCTGCAGTGGCAGCCAGAGCTCTGAGCTTTCCTTGAAAACAGCCCTCAGTTTTCCATGGCATGGCTCAGGTTGGTCAGCAGAGGCAGCCCCGGGGAAAGCTGGGGTTTGTTCCTGTTTTCCTGCTAAGACTTGTTGTTGAACCTTCTGTTCTCTTTGTGTCCCAGGTTCCAGGTAAGGCCTTTGAGGATTTGAATTTGGACTCTGAAATGTCATGTCAGAAGTCAGCACAGAGGTACTTTTTTTGCAGACATGCTTGAGAAATCTGCCTTTCTACCTCTTTGTTCCTATAATCTATGTACTATAACTATCTATAACTAAACTATTTTTTGCTAATGTCTAGAGAAAACCCAAACCAACAGTTTAACATCAAAATATTCTTTTCTACTATGGCAAAGGTCTTGCACAGGTAACACATCCACCTAGTAATGTGGAAAAGTGGTAATTCACTGAAAGCAAGGTCTTATCTGCAAAGAGCACTTAAAACAAATCACTCTTCTGACTGCAGAGCAAGTGTGTATCTTACTTCCGGCTGCCCCCAGATGCTCAGAGCACTTTTAGGCAATATTTCCACAGAATGAGATCTCTTCTCGTCACCTGTGGCAGCCTGCCATTCCCATCATGATGGGATAGTGCCAGCATGCATCTAGGAGGGCTGAAAGAAGTTGATTGTACAATTCCAGATTTGAGAAGTTCAGTATCTACTATTTTGAATGTTTTTAATGTTTAGTTCTTTTCAAGCTCTGAAGTTTGATCTGGAATAATGACATAATTTGTGCTCAGATTCTAGTTCTTATCGTCTCTGTGACCACCTGGTTATTTGCTCTCTCTTGCTTGCAGCTGCATCTCTCCACTTTCTGTGGAGGAAACAGCTGCTACTTCTCTTTTCTTGGGCCAGGATGCTGGTCCTTTGTGTCTCATTTGGTACATACTGAAATCTCTTTGACACTCTAAGGAGGGTCCATCACCTTTGACAAGAGCAGAACTGAGCCTTCCTTCCTTCCTTCCTTCCTTCCTTCCTTCCTTCCTTCCTTCCTTCCTTCCTTCCTTCCTTCCTTCCTTCCTGCCTTCCTGCCTTCCTGCCTGCCTGCCTTCCTTCCTGCCTGCCTTCCTGCCTTCCTGCCTTCCTGCCTTCCTTCCTGCCTTCCTGCCTTCCTTCCTGCCTTCCTGCCTTCCTTCCTGCCTTCCTTCCTTCCTGCCTTCCTGCCTTCCTTCCTGCCTTCCTGCCTTCCTGCCTGCCTTCCTGCCTGCCTTCCTGCCTTCCTGCCTGCCTGCCTGCCTTCCTGCCTGCCTTCCTGCCTTTCTGTCTGCCTTCCTGCCTTCCTGCCTTCCTTCCTACCTTCCTGCCTGCCTTCCTGCCTGCCTTCCTGCCTTCCTGCCTGCCTTCCTGCCTGCCTGCCTTCTTTCCTTCCTTCCCACCCAGCAAGCTGTGGCATTCCTACTACAAAAAGCAGTAAACATAAAAAAAAGGGGGATGTGAAAGGAATGTGCTTCAGTAAAAGAAAAGCAAAAAAGCTTCTTGTTTTCCCAAGAAGTGGCAAAAATACTGTGTTTCATCAAAATCCTCGTATTTCTGCCACAGAGGCATAATCCCTATGTGCACTGCAGTGCACACATCAAGAGTTTTGGGCGAAAGTATTTATTTTTTTCCTTTTTTTTTTTTTTCTCATTCAACAGTGTTATATGATAGATGGAGTCAGGTCCTTTGGGTTTTTCATGGCCTTCTTTCTAATCATAAGTCCTTTGAGAAATGTGGAGGAGGGGCCAGTCCCTTCTCAGAAGTTATGGGAAATGGAGACCGATTAAATCATAGGCTTTGCCCTGTCAGTAAAAATGTAAAAATGTCAAACATGAAAAAAACATATTTCCATATTGGGTGATGTGTGGGGTTTTTTCTCAGCTATAATTGCTCTAGCCGTATAAAAAAGCAACACAAGGTTTAGATTAGTCAAGCACATTTTTGCACTGTGTATATAATAACAAAAACCCCAGACCTGCCAACCCACCCCCAGGCCTTGAATTTTTGGTAGACTTTCTAGTAAAGTTCCCTCTGCAGTCTTTAGGAGAGTCTTCAAGGGTGAACTGATGAAGACATGCCTCTGGTACCATTTGCATTTTTACATCTTGAGCTCCACTGCCCTCTCCTCTGTCTGAAATTTGTTCCATTAATGCTCCACTCAGTGGGAGCAAGGACAGCCCCAGTTCCCCCTGCCCTGGAGCAGCCCAGCTTCTCTCTGTCATGGCAGCCTTTCAAGTTGGTGGAATGCCACAGCAGCAACCTGAGCCCGCTGCCCTCCCTGCCATACAGCCCAAGGTGTTGTGCTTCTGATTGCAGAATGGAACCAATCCCAGTTGCCTTCATGCATTGCTTCTTTACTTCACTGGTCTCAAAGATCAGATTAAGACCCTGAACAGGCTATGGCAGTGTCTATTCTCTGTCTTTGTACTTCAGAAAAATCAAAATCAGCTCCTTACTAGTTGTTGAGGCAAGCTGGTAGCCCAGTGAGAGAAGTGGATGATGCACCATCCTCGAGCAGTCATTTTAGGCAGGTAATAGGAATTCAGCTCTGGCAGGATGGCTTTCATTTTAGTGGCCATAGAAGAGGGCTAAACCCCCAATTTGGATTGGTTGTTTAGCTTTTAAAGAGGCAAGGATAGGAGAGATAAATCTTATTAACTGTGAGTTGGAAGGTGTCTGTCCTTGCCATGGGTAAAGAGCTACTTCATAAGCACAAAGATGGCAGATTCTGGAGTGGAAGGGGAGGGGGGTTGGGGGTGGGCTGGGCTGAAGAGGCTTCGACCAGCTAGAAGAGCATTTTCCATATGTCAGAGCAGAGGCTGCCAGCTTTGCTCCTGCTGAATGCTACCTTTCCTCATGATTAGTCCCATTGATTTTCTCAGCTCTGCTCACAGGGAGCTAGACCAGACCTCGTGCTTCAGCCCCAGGAATGGAGCCACCCACTGCTGAGCTACCGCTGGGACAGACCTGTCTCCTTGCTGCTCTGGGAAGGGAGCAAAGCGTGACGGTCTGGAGCTGGCACAGCACACGCCTCTCGCTGCCAGATGCCTTGGGAAAGGAAATGAAGGATCCATCAAGTTCTCCCTTCTTCCCACTTGGGCTAAGGAAAGGGCATAGTCCGCACAAGGCTATTATTCCCCTGTGTGTGAGAAGCAAGACACGGGACACGTTATGATCCCTTACTCCTTGCATTGGCATGCTGGCCATGATCTGGCCCAAAGTGAGGTGCTACTCTGCATGAAAAAGGGGCAGTGCCTGGCTCTCAGTGGCCAGAAGGTTTTACATGGCCCAGAGCATGAGGTCAGTGCAAGCCCCTTGAAGAAAGGTGTAGCGACAATGCATCCAGTGCATTTACTGGTAAACACAAAAGCCATTTACAAGAATAAGGAAAAAGGGAAAAAAAAAAAAAAAAAAAAGGAAAAGAAAAAGGCATGCATTTATTCTCAGGGCAGAAAGAGTGTATGTGCCATCGAGCACCCACTGAAAGGCTAAGGGTTGGTCTGCCACAATGCACCATTTGCTGGAGGTTTCAGCCCTTCTATGATATTACGGCTGGTGCCTCAGAGACCTTGCTTTGCCTACCAATGTAATTGGCATGGCCTGGATGCTTTTGATGGGGTTTTAGCTGCTCCTCAGCAAATCTGGTGAATGATTCTGTGGGACCTGTGGGTGTGCAAAGCCCCCATATTCCTCACTGACCTGCCCCTCTGGCTTGCTTGTCATGCGATTTACACTAACTAGCACTGTCCTTGTAACGCTAAGGTAAGAAGTGAAACCCCTTTCTTTTCCCCCTAATTGTTCCACTGATTTTACAGTTACCAAGCTGTAAAGCACCTCATCACTCTTGTTAATTCTTTCTTCCTTTTGAGCTGCCAGTTAGTAATCAATTATTACCCTTGTCATTCATGCTGCAGCACAGCAGCTGGTCACAAGAAGCCTCTGTTTCATTGGGCTGGAGCCAATCAAGTCTCTCCAGCTGTCCCTTGCTGCTCTGAATCATAATGTACAGTACTTGTTGCTTTACAACTTCCTTTACCAGACTGCTTAAAAAAAAAAGAAAAAAAAAAAGTTTTTGCTCCCAGTTCTACCCTCATGGCACATCTGGCTGCTGGAGGTTAAACTAAACTCCCCAGCACTGTATTTTTATGAAGGGTGGGGGAAATACCCTGCTAATGCTAGCACAACAGGTATTTTTGTCATATTCTCCGTTTTATGCAATGACTGCATTGATATAAAGACTGCTGATAGATCAAAGGTTTCACTGGTAAAACGATATGAAAGGCAGAGACATTAACATCCATCAAGGTCCTGTTAGGATTTGCAGAACAGGGGTTCTGGGCCTCCCAAGTGAAACCTAGCAGGAAGGTCTGCGAGCCTGCATAGCAAATGAAAAGAAAACAAGAGAGGGCACACAGAATATTGGAGGAGGTAGTGACCCACAAAATAGTAGCAATTCGAGCTGCAAGGCACCCTGATTGAATTGCAGTGGAGGCAAACACTCCCAGGCTTGCCGGTCTTTTTCTGAGGCGATGTGCTATGAGCTATCAGCTGGGCTTTCAGAGTGGCAAACAACAGTACCATCAGCTTGCCTGGCTGTCTTTGTTCCCAGCTCCCACTGCTTTCTGTGGAGATAAGAAACCTTGTGAAAATAGCCAAAATGAGAAGTACTGGGGAGAAGCAGCTAGTTTTGGGTAATTGAGATTATCATCCTGTAATTTACCTTCCTCTTCAGGCAATTTAATCAAAAGGAAGAAACCAATTTCACAAGTCTGCTACTGATGTGGGTATTTTGATTGGCTTCAGCCAATAGTCACAGGAATAAAAGTTTGGGATACATCTTTCCCAGTTACTTCTTTTCCTCTCTCATCTGTCCCAAGGAACCAGTTTCATGGGTGCACTAAGCAACAAATTAAGGCATGATGTAACCCCCACTAATTACCACCTCTTGCAAGATTTTGTGCCCCTGATGCTTAGAAACACAATTAGTGTTAACTATGTGATATCCACCAGCGGCATTATGTAAAAGTGTGTAGGTTTTATTGCTGCTGCGGCTGAAACCAATAAACTCCACTCTGCCAAACTGAGCACAAAAAGGGTTTTACAAGGGCACTATGAAAATCATAGCAGTCAGTGAATGTTTGCCATGGGCTTGATAAGAGTTTTCATCAAAACTGTGGGCTGTAGAGAGGTAAAAAGCAATCCAATGCAGTCACCTG